ACACTTGCGATTGACTCCTGCTTGCGCCACACTTTCGAGGCATGTTGAAACCAAAGGACAGTTGACATCGGCAAGACCAATGCAGTACGCCAGGAGCTTCTCCACCAGCCGACGAATTCAACTCCGATTGAACTGCTGGGGTCAATTGTGGAGCCATCCATGCTTGATGTGCCCATATGTGCCCCATGTCTCACTTTTGTACCGTTTGTGTTTCATGCTGAGGCCGCAAAGAATGAGTTTTATGCAACCCAAAACTAGGCAATCGCTTGATGTTCTCAGTTGCTGACGAACTGAACATGACAAGCTACTGTCCCTTATTCAGGGGGCTGCAAGATCCGTGGTGACGCTGTTGGAACACCACAGGTTGTATGCCAGCGCATCCAGCTCTCCTCGTGTAAGCTGATGGTTGAGGGGAACACGACGGCCAGCCCTATATTTGGTCGCATACACCACAGAGTTTCCACCTTCCCTGCAAGGGAGAAAGGGGTATGAGTATTTCATGCAGTGTTTTGCTATGGTGCTTTTGTCTACGCCGGTCCACCCCCGAAAAGTGAGTTATCAACCTTTCATGTGGTTGGTTCAATTTAGCATTCTACTCCGAGGATCATGGCTTTTGGTTTGTTGTGAGTACCCCACGACCGCATTCTAATCATGTGAAGCCTACAACCAGTTAAACCTTTTGACCAGCAAGAAGCCATGTTTCATGATGTTGTTATTTTTACGACCCCAAACATGGCCAAACAGTTGTCCTTGTGGTTTTCGCACCAGCTCACAAAAAAGACGAGACCCCCAAAAAAAGAAAACAATCAAGTAACTAAGAACGCAAAAGAAAAGGAAGCCAACTCCAACAAGGACGATCCGACTGAGGCCAGCACCAAGCCAGCGGCGCCCGCGTCTTCCGGCGCTCAGCAGGCCATCAAGGTCTATGCAGAGGAGGACCGGGAGTGCCAAGCCGGTGCCAAAAGCGAATCCGGATCTGACCTTCTTTTTTTTTGGCAACCACTTTTAGTAAAGGGCCCAAAAGGTGATCACTACCGCGTTCTGCAGCCCTCAGATAAGAAGTGTGGTGATTTGGTTGCACGCCATCTTTGAAAAACAGGCATTAATACATTGTTATCCGGAATCCCACGCTTTTTCGTGGCGCAAGTGCTCTTTGCTCAACTGGGAGCTGATGGACTCGCCACATCTGTTCCTTCCGTTGGCTGGCCCTCGGTTGGGAATTCCCAGCCCTGCGGCCACCGCAAGAGCCGCGTCAGGCTTTTTGGGGCGCAAATATGGGCCGCAATCAAAACCCGGGGCAGATGAAGCCTAAGGTTACTAAGGGACCAGCCCAACCATAAGTAGCTGCGGCCTGGACCATGTCAATACCGGGTTTTCATCATGACTTATATGGCCAGGGGGTTTAAGAGGAGACCGCTTCAAAAGTGGTTGTCCACTCATGGCCATATGTTCACGGGTTGCCCCAACTCACCAGTCAGCATCTGCCTCTCCCTTTTCATTTGCTGGCATTTTTTTCTGCCTGCTCTGGCCTTCAGTTGAAGGGTTATCTGAGCTATGAAAGCATTATTGACCAAGTTGTTTGGACTGTGCACCTTTGAAAATAGTTTGTTGCGTTCAGTGATTGTGTTTGGGACGGTGCCAAGGATTTATTTGTAGCATCATTTACACCTTGGTGCATGTAGCTATATTGGATAACGTGAATGAAACGGTATTCAAAGTATCCTGGAATGTGACACTGTCGGTGGGGCCTCTTGGAAACCTCCAGCTTTCACCGGTTGTTTCCGCCCTTGCGGTCGTGCGAGGAGCTCAAGAAGTTTGTGGAAAGGCATCGGCTCAGCGAGGACGGTCGAGCCCGTCGGTTTTGCTTTGATCCCATGTGTGTGTGTGTGTGTCAAACTAGGACCTGAACATGGCTTCGGTTGTTCTTTTGGTTTCCCTTTGAACCAACCCCAAAAGAGTTCCGAGCCTCAACAAAAACACAGTATCTCAGTATCTCATACTAGCCTGCCAGCTCAGCAGTTCAGCTCATCAGCCGAGCAACCATGCCCGATGAACAAGTTGCTGGTAACTTGGCCGAGCCAGCATTCAGCCAACCAACGCACGAAAAAATGAAGACGTCCCTACAACGGCCATTTCACTTGCCCTTCCACCCGCCCACCCACTCACCCACCCACCCACCGCGCTGCATCACAGACCAGGGCGCCCAGAATTTCGCCAGGACACGGAGGCCGAGCTCCGTAGCTTGGAGCCGGAGGACATGCTCAGCATCACCGAGGCCTGCAAGGTACCCCCAAACCAGAGCTTGGGGTCAAAGGGCGCCACTGCGTAGCCTCCCCAGCAATGAGGCCCGAACCTTTAAACAAAAACAATGCCCAGATGTTCCTTCGCCCATCCTTTGGCTCAATGCAGTGCTTTGGGATTGTGGAGGCAAGGGCTTCGGGATTCTGGAGGCCCCAGATGTATTCCCATGTGCGTTGTTTGCAGCCCATTGTGAAGCATATGGAGCAATTACTTCAGAAAGCCTTCCAAGCATCGCCAACCGTACGATGCAAGCAAGCAGCCCAGAAGTCCTGCGCACCGCTGAATCACAGACAGCTCTGGCACACATAGCTAGCTGTTGTGAGCAACAGGGCGAAGGGCCAAGGCAAACGCGTGGTCTTGGGGTGCATTGTTCAAAGGACGGTTTGTTTTTATTAGGTCTCCCAATTCGGGCCAGCGCATTTCCTTGCACAGAGCCCGCATGCCCTGCTCCCGCAGGCCAGCAAGATCACAGACAGCGAGGAGCTCCTTGGACGCAAGAGGTGGTCCAACTTCCAAATGTTAGCAGGCGAATGAACGGGGCTGGCTATGTCGCCGGAGGCAGATAAGTTGAATATAGCTGCCGCGTTGCTGTTTTTTTGTGTGTCACACGATCGGGCTGCTTAGGGAAAGATACGCCCGGGTTCATAAATGGCAGAAGAAAGGTTGGATGTGTGCCTGGGGTCATTTCAGGCCGCCGAGCAACGTGGACGGCGCGGAGGATGTCGTGATCCTCGCACGAATCGCACGGCTGAAGCTTGGCATAGCCTAAGCGAATGGCGTTGATGGCGTTACACCCAAAGACATGGAGCGGGATGCGCCTCTGATGGTGTACACATATATACATATATACACATATTATGGGCTTACATGGGTGTATTTTTTTATTGAGGGTATACCCTTTCTTATTGGTTGTTTTAAAGAGAACAAAGGGAGATCATTTTTGGGGGTCCCCCCCAAAGAACACACACCCATCTTTGTAGCTTATTGGTGGGGTGTCGCTGTCCGAGTTTTTATTCTGACAGTTTTGCAATGGACAATAATTTGCGCTGGCTAGCCGGCCGCATCGCCAGCATTACTGGCCTCACTCGGACTAGAGCTGCCTATTGGCTTTGATTTCGTGGCAATTCAGGGTTGCTCGGGGCTGGTTTGGGGTGAGTGTTGGGCAACGCTGAGGTCTTAATAAGGGAGGGTCTTGGGTTTGTTTGGGGTTCATGTAGGCTCGGCAAAGGGCTGATATGCAGGATGCGGTTGGGAGGGTTTAAGGTTGACTTTGTGGGGCGTTGCCCCAAACCACCAGTCCTAGCCCAAAACTTGCATAATCAGATCCCTGAAGCAACCCGAAAGCCACGGCTAAAAACCGCACACCTAGCACAGATCAGCCCCAACCAAGCGAAAACCGACCCAAAGTCAACCTTAAACCCTCCCAATCGCATCCTGCATATCAGCCCTTTGCCGAGCGTGCATGAACCCCAAACAAACCCAAGACCCTCCCTCGGTAAGGCCTCAGCAAGCCCAACACTCACCCCAAACCAGCCCCGAGCAACCCTGAATTGCCACGAAATCAAAGCCAATAGGCAGGTCTGGCGATGCGGCCGGCTAGCCAGAGCAACTGTCAACTACCGTCAAGTCATGCCCAATACGCAGCCCTGACAAGAAACCGGAAATGCTGGGGATGCTGGGGATGCTGGGGATGAGGCCACCAACCCCCAGCCAACCTCTTTGGAGTGAGGCCTTGTGCTGAGCCGGGGCTAGTAAAAAACACCTCAACCAGAGGTTGAATGGTCTTTGTTAAGCTCTATTATTGCCAAGACAGAAAGACTCTGACGGACTCAAACGGGTGGACTGGCTCTTCTCAATTTTGCCACAAGACATGCTTTGGTGGCAATTAACAACAAGGATGAATCGATGTTATGGGCGATGTGCCAATACTATGGATTGATCAAACTTGATTCTTGTCCCTGGCATTTCAGTTGCTCCGAATAGCAGACCCACATTTTGAGATGGAGCTTGGAGCTGATTCATTGACTTCATGTTTTTCAAGATTCAACAGTCTCCTACTCTAACTGCTGCCGAGGGCGGCAGTCCAAGAGCACGGCTCGGAGTATTGAGGTTGGTCAAGAGAATGATCAGCCAAAGCGTGCCGACATTGTCACTTAGACTTGCAGTTGTTCGCTTTCATGCACACCATTCAGTTACAGCGGTCAAGAGGGGGGTCTACAGTGGCTAAGAAGAGACTAAGCAAAAGGGATCTCTCCGCTTTCAACACAACTTGATTACCTCAAGGTGTCTTCTTAGGACGGGTCTCCACCTACCTGACATTGGCCAATTGCTGGGCCAATTCAGCTCGTCGCGTGCGCTGAGGAAGGCAGAGAAAGCTCCGAGGGAGAAGGCGGGGTTGTTGGGGGTTTGCAGCCGAGCACTGACGCTGATTCCCATTCCCATTCCCTGAAAGGAGTTTTGACAATGGCACATTTGGGGCCTGGGATGGCTGCCAGGGTTGTCGGCACCGGTTGAACAACATGACAGTGTTGAAAGCATTCTTTGGTTCCATCATGCAGCAACGTCACTTGCGTTCTTCATCGAGCGCGACGGCTCAAACAAAGTTATTGCTGGTATCATTGGCCGGTGTCATTCACTAGTGTCGCATGCATCTAGCCGAAGGTATGTGAAATCCCTGGCTTTATCCTTGGGGGTTTCTCATGGAGCTCGCCGCTGTGCCAGCCCCAAGGGCCTCAGAGCCCTAATTAGCTGCCAAGCCTCACAGAATGGTTCTTAGAGGAAAAAATCCAGAGGTCAATCTGGTGCTTAGTTCCATGCGGCTGGGAGACGCGCAGACTGACTTGCGGCCACGATTTTAAAGCAGTGCTGGTCTAGGAACACTTTGGTTGATCGACGAAATCAAGCAGCTTGAAATTCGGTTTCACCTGAATCATAGAATCCACCAGACTCGATGTGATTCGGAGAGTGCTTGGGTGTGTCGATTTTCACGGGGTTGCTTGTTTCGGAATTAACGGGAAGTCGACTTGGGCTGGCTCGACTCACTAGTGCCCAGGCTGAATGCATCAGACAGAAGATGTCCATACCCAGATTTGAGAGCGCATTTTCGCCTTTTGTCCAACTATTCAAATGATTGAATTGTTTACCAGGTTCTAACTCTGATCAAAAGGGTCAATTGAATGATGATCACCTCACAAGTGGAGCAAAACGGCCGACATCACATATATTGCATGTTTTTCCCAGGGTGTCCCTCGTGTCAGGTGAATGGTTCAACTTTGTGATAGTCACGGTGCTTTGGAAACACATGGAAACCAAAGTCACCTACTACCACTACCACTACCTGAGCAGCTGACGACAGAACCACTAGAAACCGATAGGGGCATCGATATGCTGCTAATATCGTCCGCTGATCTCCGAACCTGAACCAAGAGCAAAGGCCCGCCCTCAGCTTCGGTTGAGGAGCCCCCAGTGGTTGCAAAGCCGGCGACTGTGAAGAAGGCAGACGCCAAGGACCGTTTCGCTTTTTTGGTGGGTGTTGGTTCTCAGGGGAAGGTTTGAGAGGTTGGCAAGGTGGATCTTCGAGGAAACCACCAGTTCACACGGGGGCATTCTCTCATTCCCTGAGAAGCGGCATGTAAAGCTTCTGCAAAGAATTAGCTTTGTTGGCCTCTTCACTAGCAGCCGCAATCTGAGACTTGCACCCCCGTAGGCGCTGCCGCAAACTCCTGCAACATCCGCAAACTCCTGCAACTTCTTGGCTGAATCCTTGACCGACCAGTCGGTAGTTGTGTGAAGCATGGATGCAATCCAGGGCACATGAGGATTATAGAATTGTATAGTTTGAGAGTGAGGGAGCTATAGTGGCAGTCGATGCAAGCCCCGAGCTGTGGCGCGTCCAGAATGCCCCATCTTCTATAATATGACTGCAGGCTCGTGTTTCACGGTCGTTCTTGGGTTTCTCTACAACCCACAGGTAGTGAAACAAGTTACTAAGTAAGCCCTGGCTGTCGATGACACAGCCGCGGGATGAATGCATGCCCAGCCGCTTGGGTGTAGTATTGCCAGTCTGACAGAATCATGGTTCAAAGTTCAAATTGGCCAGGACACCCATGTTTCTAGCATACATTTGTGCCGGTGACTGGAATGCAGCAAGTGGTTGTGACAAACATCAGCCACTTCTGAAGGGGTCATGAAATCCATACTGAGAAACACAACTTCTCCAAACATGTCTTTGAGGCTCTCAAGAGGACGAGTTTGCTCTTTTCAGTGGTGAATGCTTATTTGTCCTTATCAACTCTATGCCCAGTTGCCTCTTCAGATATGTTTGAATGTATATATATATATATATATATGTGTGTATATATATATATCCATGCCGTCATTTGTTCTTGGAACATCTGTGTTTCCTGCTTCGTCTATGGCATGTGGTTGCTGGGGATGAGTCGTCTGCATAGGGACTTCGTGAAGCGGGTCTTTCGCGGCTAGGAGGCGCCCTCCGCAACGGCGAAGCCGGCGAAGAAGAAGGAGCCCGAGAAAGATCCCAAGGAGCGGCTGGTCCACTGGTGACACCCGGAGGGGGGAGGGGCTGGTGACAGTTGGGGGGGGGAGGTTGATGACATGTGCATTCGAACCTCGTGTGCCTGGCTTGGGGCTCGGAGCGAACGTGCTGTTGCAAGGCAGCCCAAAGGAGCATTGCTTGATATTGGCATCTCTTTGCATCTCTTTTCTTGAAAGCAGAGGTGGATATGTTGCGGCAGCAAAGACTTGTGTTTTGCTTAGTGTTGCCAGAAATGATGCCCTTGGTTCAGGTGGTTGGTTGTTGCTGCGTGGGCGGAGATGTGAAGCTGAAGCACGTGACCTAGCATATGGCGGTTCTTTACATGAAATGTGCAATCATCATGTCCACGTCCAAGAGAAGGTAGGTAGGGCCTGTCGGGGCAACTTGGCAAGTGTATCAATCTTTGAAGGCAGATATGTGTTTGTGAAGCAGTGGTGTCATACTTTGCATAGGCGAAACTACACAGGTTTTTCGAGCACGTGGCACTATTATCTTTATCTCCGTACAGGTAATGACCCAACCGATATGGGGAGGGCGTGCCGTCACTTTTTTACCCAACTGTGAAGTATTTGGCAGCGATTGCGGGAGACTCGCCTGGCTCGGAAGGAGCTTCCCCCAGAGGTGGAGGCCAACCTGAAGAAGAAGGCGCCGACATCCAGTGGGCTTCATGTTTCGTCGTGCCCGCAAAAATCAGCTTCCTGGGATCGTTTGTTTAGAAGAACACTTGTCTTCCGAGGAAGTCCATCCTTTCTGGGCGCAGGCTTATCCGGTGCACCTTCCAAAGAGGGATTTGATGTACTTGTTCAGGGGAGTCCATTTTCTCCGATGTTCCCTGGTTGTTGGGTCAAAATAACTTTACGACCAAGGTCCCCGTGAAGGTTTGAAAGGCACAATGTCTCGCGCAGCTCGCCCGGAGTTTTGCCCCCAAGGCTGGCTGTTCAGGCTGGACATCCAGGGGGCGTTGTACGGTTTCTTTAATTTTCCTACTTGAATTGTCCATCTAGTTTGCGTGCTCAGCAACCAGTATATATAAGATTATATAAGTGCATCACATTGTCAGCTTGAGATATGGCAATACTCATACTCTTGGGGATGTCCAGGCATTATGTTTGTCAAACCAGCTTGGCTGCAAGCATAGAAACTGTACGTCTCTCGGCTGCTTCAGATCTGAAAGCCCTTTTCTCAAAGCATTGAAGCAAGATCGGCAAATGGCAAGAGGACTGCAGGAGATATCTCTGAGGGTACCTGCACAAATACTCAGCGCATGTTTAAAGGTGTATGGTTGAGGTATCTTTATTTTATCTTTGACTCACTTGCCCAAAATCCGACCTTAAACCTTTCGGTTTGTCTGATCTGGTAAGGTTCCAAAAGGTGAAGCCTTCATAATTGGTTTCGTCCTTTGGTCACCCAAGTTGATCCAGTTGGATCAGCCGCCTTGGCTGGCGAGCCGCGAGTCGTGGCTGCGGAGGTTGCCAGCCGCAGCCACACGCTGCTCTTCGCCCAGCGGTCTGTGGAGTTCGTGAGGGGCCACAAGCTCCACACCTTGGCGGAGCGCGCGCTCATGCGGCTCGACTGCGTTGGTTGGCCAATGGGCGCTTTTTTGTCGCGCGAGCGCGCGCGCGCGCGCGCGTGTGTGTGTGTGTGTGTGTGTGTGTGTATTCAGGGTGGGGGGTGGATTCATTTTGGCTTCCCTTCAACACACAACCAAAAGGGGTGCGTGCTGTCAACAAACAGAGAGAGACACACCCTGATATGGAAATGGAGAGTCGGCAAAGTGACTTTAGAGTTGCATGGCTTTACAAACGGTTTCATCGAGTTACATTGGTTTCCATGGCTCCTTCCCAAGGGTTAACGTATCGAACATCTGCGTTGAAGTCAACTTCCGCCAAGCGAAGCTTGAAGCCTTGTTGGGTGTACCCAGTCCAAAACACACCTGCGAAATGAAACCCAAATTGGTCAACCTTCGACCCCGAGCTTCTTTTTGAAGCGAGGGTGGTTGCTGCCTTTTGTGATTGGTACTTGTGCTTTGGGTAGTTGGTGATTCTTTTCTGGGCCGCACTGCTTTCAGCAGTTTTTTTCATTTTGCCACGTGTCAGGACCATGGGCAGCAGACCAAGTTTCTTGAGATGATACATGGTGGACATGAACCTTTTTCCAATGTTAGACTTTCTGTGTGAGGTTTCTAAGGGAAATATGACGATTGACAGGAGTTTTGTCCATGGGAGGTGTGTTGGCATGTCATGCTCCAGTCTTCCTGGAAGCACGTTGCCACCCTAAAAGTCAAAACCATGTCTAGCAGTCCTTTACTGGTGCAAGTAGGAGCCACAACCATGTTTCTCCAAGGCATAGGTTCAGACAGCGAGCCGCGAGGTTTGTGTCAGCCAGACCAGTTTATTCGTTGAAGCCTATTCAGGTCACCTGGACCAAACATCCCTAACTTTGCTATGAGGCTCGCTAAGGTGCACTCAGCTTTTGCACGTCTAGGTGCAATGGTCGGTCCAGGGCACTGTTGTATCCTGTGTTGGTTTGCGGCAAGCTGCACATCTTTCCAACACTCTGCCCAGGATGATGGATGCCAAGGATGGCGAAGCTCTTATGAGGTCGCGCTCTGTGAACTTCGAGAGACGCTCGGCACAGTCCGGCTTTTTGCAACTTGAACCATCAGGAGTTCGTCGCAGCTGCAACCCAGGATAAAGGGGTCCAGCTCGTGTGGCATCTTTGCGTTAGCAAAAAAGTCCAAACATTTGGTTTTTTTTTGGCTATGATGGATAATTGGGTCATTTCCAAGATGCCATCAATACGAACCCCAATAATTGACACCGGGTGTATCGTTCTTCAGGAACCCTTCAGACCCTTCACTTCTGGGAATGCATCATAGGACCGGTAGTTGATTGATCCAGTATTCCCGTCAAGAAGGATGACCGATGTTTGGGGTGAGCTCCATTTGGACATCCCTTTACTCTTAAGCATTTCTCTGGGTTGCATGCACATGCTTCTGGAGGACATAATCGTGCACCCCAAAAGCATCGATCATACCGCTGTTTTGATCCCCAAGTAGATCCATCATGAATGGACAAACACGAAGGTCGGCACACGCTCGGCGGGCGGATGCAGCACTTCCTGAAACTGCTGAAGTCCAAAGACCGCAGCAATGAGGCGACGAAAGCGAGCTGAGAGCCGGGGATGGAATGAACTTAAACAAGCTACCCATTCAAGGACTGCCAACACCATAGAGCCTGGCATATTTATTCTTTATGGCAAAGCAGAAAGCCTTATATTTTGGTGATAGCAAAGTCATTGGTGGGAGCGGGGGTTTGATATTATCGAAAAAAATGGCGCCTGACTTGGATTTCCCCTTCTTGGGGATTCCGTTCTTTCCATACCCGAGTCTCGTTACCCGTTATCTCATCCCGCTCTCAAGCTCAATTGCTGAGTGGCACTTGCCTTTGTCCATGTGGTAAACCTCTCTCCCCGAGTTCCTAGACTTCACATTTTTGAGGAAGGCCATTTTAGTCGACCAAAAGTGTCTTTTGCGGCCAATCCACTCAGGATGTAAGAAGCAGGAACCATTCAAAGTCAACCGCCTTTCTTTTTCTGCCCACTGTGCGACTGACTTTCGGGTTATCCTAAATTGGTGTGGGTTGGTGGTTTGGAGGTTGGCAAGGGTGGTTTCCCTTTCACCCTCTACAAGACCCAGGGGTTATCCCAAACTAATCAAAACCACCGACCAACATCTCCTTGAGACGGCAGGTCGAGCAAATGGTCTCCTATGCCTGGGACCTCGTGAAGAAAGAGGCGGTCCCGTCTGCCAGAAACGGCGGGGGTTGTTGTACATGTTGTACCTGTGCCTGGTGGGAAAGAGTGCAGCCTTTCTTGGCCGGTGAACTTAGGAGTCGAGCTTCTTGTTAGATATGTATTGGAAGGAATCATTTCCGGTTGATGCCTCCGTCCTCGATGAGGATCATCACTAGCTGGGGGGCTCGGGCTCCACCTTGGCCGTTTGTTTGGTAAACGGGCTAGTCGCCTTTGTTTGGAAAGAAATGGGGTTACAAATGTTTACTGGGTATAAACCAACTGGGGTTTACTGGGTTTAAAAGTTTATAGGGCCCAGAATATGTCGGGGAGTTTTGGTTATGAAGCGAGCTTGTCTTGATAAGCGCCTACGAACGACCGATTAAAACACGACCCTCCAGCTGCCAAAAACACATTCATTTTCTGGTATGTCTGAGCTCCAGAGATTGGCAAGCCTTGCTGTGTTTCAGTGCTGTGTCGGTTGGTGTCCTGTTTGGAGGGTTTGTCTCCTGGTTGCGTGTTTGGGGCAGAAGGCTGATAGCCATTTCTGACAGCTACAGGCTACAGGTGGCACCTCGTGTAAAATCTGAAGTTCCTTGGCCTCAAGCGGTGTGAATGTGTCAAGTTTGCCTCTTCAGTTCCCATATTCCCTGCCTTGATGCTGGTGCATTGCTGGCCTGGACAAGACGACTTGAACATGTGTTCTTCACGCTTGCAGCGCTTGGTAATGGGTTCTGAGCTGCTGATTGTAGTGGATTACCGCTGCTGAGCTCTTGTTGATCTCATCAAAACGGACAGTACCGAAAAGCAAGCGCTAACAAGCACAACAAGGAGCCATTTGCACATGCTGGCCAGAGGCCACATGTCTGCAAGGAGAGCTGGCAATGTTTGTTCAACTTATGTTCTGTTTGTGTTTTCATTTGCACGTGGTGGTGCTTCCTGTTCTCGGCGTTTCCAAACTCCCGCCACAAACGAAAGCACAAGCTAGATGCAGCTAGCGCCAGGTTTGCAAGGGAGAGCGGTCCCCGAGCACTCGACGTTCCAGGATCATTTGGGCAGCGTTTTTCGAGGGTCCGAGACGGCGGGTAGCCTTAGCAGGCGTTTTGTGAAGGGGTATCGCGCAGCATGATTCCTGTCTTAGGAGCCATTTGAATGCATCCAAAAATCACTGGGAGTCGTGGGGCGAGTGTTGATGACATGGCACTTTGGCGCAGTCCCATCTCTGAATTCGGACCTTTATCTGCTTATTGAACGCCGAAGGCAGACGTGAAGAAGCGCGGCAGTGCGCAGAGCCTTCGGTTAAAAAGGCGACTTATACGGCTGTTGGCCAAGACCAATGGTACCATTTTGGGGTAGGTGCACCACCCATGTTAGTCTATGTTAGTGGGGATGGGGGGTACGGGCTTTTGACCCATGGCCATATCGTGCAGGAGGTGTCTAAGGGACCTGTTTATGGACTCCTTCCTTCAAGGTGCGAAGCGCTTTGGCTGCCGCCTGTGAGTATTTGGCACCCGCACTAGCTTTGACGGACTGAGCAACGTCCAATGGGTCGACTCATGTCGAATCCATTTCGGTGTGTGTGTGTGTGTGTGTGTGCGTGTGTTTCGACTCATGTTGTTGTGGTTAAAAAAGGCAAAGGGCACAACACCTCCCCTATTTCGACACACCCATTCATTCATTGGGTTTGTCTTGGTTTGAGCGTACCCTTTTTGCCTTGGTTTGCAGGGGAACCAGGAGGAAACCACATTTGTTGAGAGGTTTGACCCCACATCTTCTGACATTTCTTGAGGAAGCCGCATTGTTGCAGGGTTTGACACCACATTTACAGATGTGGTGGGGTTTGAATCGCCCCTTTTCTTTCCATGCAAAAAAAACTCTGCTCCAGTCACTGGAGTGACAGTCTCTGGTCTTCCATTACAAGGGCTTTCCATGCAGAAAAGCTCTGCTCCAGTCAATGGAGTGGCGGCCTGTGCACCGTTGGGATTCCTCACATTGCTCGCTAGGACTCCCAAGAAGAAACGCAGCCGCAGCCGAAGCCGCAGCCGGCGCAAGCGGCGGCGCAGCCGAAGCCGAAGCCGGCGGCGGAAGAGCTCCAAAAGGCGAAGCGAGTCACAGAGTCGGATGCGTGTCAGGAACCCAACAAGGGGTGGCCCCCAAAAGGGGATTGCAAAGCAACATCATGTTTTTTTGGGGGGGTGCATAATAATCTACAGAGCAGATGGTTTCTTTTTTGCTGTCCTTTATTCAACCAACCCTAGGAAGGGCACCCTAAGAAAACACCCAGAAAAGCTGCTTAGAACCCAAGTGGAAAGGTTCTCAGAGCCTTGGGTAAGGCTCTGATGCCCCTTCCCAAAGCTCAACTGGCAGCTGTTGGATGGAGCTCGCCCACTTATTCCACAGAAAAAGTCACCTTGGCACCTGGGATCTGTGGAGGTATCAGGGAGATGTTCTTTAGCGAGGGAGTCCAGCGGATGTTTTTTACGCAAGGGTAAGCAGAAGGTGGATTGTATTTTCTAGGGCATCCCTTTGTCAGTTTGGGGGATTTCTTTGCATGGCTTGTGCGTTTTTGTTCTCTTGGGGAGGGGTGATGCACACTTACCACTGTTTTGGGAGCCTGAAGGCGCGACAGATCTTTTCTCCCCGGCCTTATGCAGCTTCTCTGTGGTCCTGATCTGACATAATTTGAAGGCGGCACCTTCATAGGCAGCAAATCAGGAGCCGAGTGTACATTCTGATGCAGTCAATTGCAGGCTTTCACTCGGCAAGCTTTCAGGCGCTGTCGCTGAGGACTTGAGCATGTCCTCGATCACTCCGCAACCACCACATAGGTCTTCAGCAAGAGGATGTTACCACGGACGATTAGTTTCTTTGAGCTTCGGTTTCAATCCATCAGCCTTGCACTTGTGAGTCGTAGCCAAATGAGGGTGGCATATTCATGATTCACATCATGCAAGGTTCTTTTGATTGAACAATGACTCAGAAGTTGGGGGGAGTTTGACAGCCAATCCTTCTGCCTTGGTCATCACAAGCTTTCCTGCGAGGCGACGCCGGAGGAAGCGATCGCGCAGCACGGAGGATCGAACCGCAATGTGCATGGGGGGCGCCCGAACCTAAGAAATACGGGGGGCCAACGAAAGTCCTAAGACGTGTTTCTTCTGATTCTGTCTTATGATCATGACTTGTCTGGTTTCCCATTCTACTTTTCTTAGGATCTTAAAGTTAATTGGATGAGAAACAACCGCATCGCAAGCCAATAAGCCCAGAGCCGGGTATGGAATATCCTACTTAGGGCGTACTTGGGATTACCCGCCATGTACTGACTGGGACGGTCGTCCAAGCAGCGGTCCCAAAACCAGCCTATCTTGCGTAAACAAAGCTTGATGCCCCCCAACAGGGCCCAGCAAACCGGTGATTTGTGCCCACAACGGCACACATGCTGATGCCGACTGATTGAACGTGTTTCAGATCAACTCCAGGGTGTGCTCAGTTCGAGGAGTTCCAAATGGTGTTGTGTTGCAAGGCATGACAAGCCTACAGAGTTCATTGCGCACACTAGTGCAACCGGATAGCTGTCCTTTCGGTATATTGCGAGAAATCGGGTTTGGAAGGTATACCAGTGCCGCCAGTTCAACATCTTCTTTGTTTAGCGTTTTTCTGTGGCATTAGCATCATTTACTTTTCCTTGGTCAATCAACCCATCTAGGACTGGTTCTTATTTTCTTATTCATCAACCAAACGGATTGATTGGAGGTTGCAGCGTTTGGCATATTGGATACAGTGCACGTGCATGACAAGGGCGTGTGTGTGACCCAAAGGTAGGCATAAGCGGCCTTTGGGCAGCTTAAGAGCTATACCATGCCGGAGAGATGTGCATGCACATATCAGCTTGATCAGTTGTCGTTCTGACCTGGGGAAGTAGAGTTCATCGTTGACAGCACAGGTGTTGATACTGCCAACGGCTGTGGCAGTGCTGTAAGACTTGCAGATTTGCGGAGAGTTCGCAGTTGCATGTACCATGGTCAAACAACTGGGGCTGTGTCTTGAGGCCAATTCAACTTCTCGCAAGGCGATCTGACATGTTGTCAAGGGTACCATGGCGCGCATACAGTACTATAATATGGCTAATCAAGATCATCAACGAGGTGACAAACAAGACCGTTTGCGCCACACAAACATGTGACGCACTGCTTTGTATGGAATCATGTCATTTTGCCCTCAGGTCACATCATACCTGGGCATCATACTCCTCTATTGATAATGTACACATTCTAGTGGCTTTCTTTCGAGTTTGAGCCATGCTCCTTACAAAGGGTCTCCATGGGTTGATGCCATCCTGTTGGTGGCCTTAGGGGATCCCAAGCCACTTGACATTGCAGCATTAGCAAGAGGTCACACCTGAAAATGCAATCTAACAACTCTCACATGGACAAGGGGAAGTTGGAGGGATGTCCTTTCTTTGGATGTCCAGTCGTTCAGTGTCACCTTGTCCCTTTTTTCTCCTGTCAGAACAAGATCATCTTTCTTCTGTGGCTCAGGATGTGTCGTAGTTTGACAAATGGCTCCACGATTGTTTGGCCG